ATGCTTTGGAAGGTCGACTCTGAGGCCTGGTACCTCACTGAAGTCCCTGTCCTCCTCAAGCTCCATCCCCAAATCTCCAGGAGTTTCCCAGCTTGCATCTGGCAACCCTACGGGGCTGGGTAGTTGCAGGTGGGGAGAGGATCTTCCTGACCTGGCCAAGTGGGAATCGGGTGGGGGGAAAAGATGCAGCCTGGAGACAGAAAATGGAACAAGAACATAGGAATATAAGAAGAGCCCTGATGGATCAGACCGGTGGTCCATCTAGTCCAGCATCCTGTCCCACACAGTGGCCAACCAGTTCCTCTTGAGGTCCAGCAACAAGGCAGAGAGGCCGAGGCCTTCATAAGAACACCAGAAGAGCCCTGCCAGATCCATCCAGTCCAATGCTCCATCTAGTCCAACATCCTGTCTCACACAGTGGCTAACCAGTTGCTCTTGAGGACCAATAATGGGGCAAAGAGGCCGAGGTCTTCATAAGAACATCACAAGAGCCCTGCTGGAATAGACCAGTGAGGGTCTATCTAGTCCAGCATTCTTTCTCACACAGTGGCCAGCCAGGTCCTCTGGAGGGCCAATAACAGGGCAGAGAGGCCAAAGCCTTCATAAGAACGTAAGAAGAGCCCTGCTGGATCAGACCAGTGAGGTTCCATCCAGCATCCTGTCTCACACAGTGGCCAGCCAGTTCCTCTGGAGGGCCAATAACGGGGCAAAGAGGCTGAACATCAGAAGAGCCCTGCTGGATCAGACCAGTAGTCCCATCTAGTCCAGCATTCGGTCTCCTTTGGACATCCAACAATAGGGCATAGGGGCTGAGGCCTTCATAAGAACATCAGAAGAGCCCTGCTGGATCAGACCAGTAGTCCCATCTAGTCCAGCATTCGGTCTCCTTTGGACATCCAACAATAGGGCATAGGGGCTGAGGCCTTCATAAGAACATCAGAAGAGCCCTGCTGGATCAGACCAGTGGTCCCATCTAGTCCAGCATTCGGTCTCCTTTGGACATCCAACAATAGGGCATAGGGGCTGAGGCCTTCATAAGAACATCAGAAGAGCCCTGCTGGGTCAGACCAGTGAAGGTCCATCTAGTCCAGGATCCCGTCTCACAAAGGGGCCAGCCTCCAGAGTCTCAGGCAGAGATCCTTCACATAATTTCTTAGCTCATCCTTTTAATTTTTGAAACTTGGATTTGAACCCGGGACCTTCTGCATACCAAACGGATGCTCTGCTACTGAGCCACAGCCCCACCTGTGTCCAGAGGGTCCCCAGTCTCCATCCCTGATATCTCCAGAACTGCAGGTAGAAGGTGCTGGGAAAGAGCTGCCCGTGACCCTGGAAAACAGCTGCCAGCCAAATAAGACGTGGCTGGCCTCGCTGTCGTCAGGATCCGTCATTCTCCTGGGCAACTCTCTGTGCCGGAAGTTTTGCCTGAAGGTGCGCACCGAAGAGTGATGGACCGTTTCAGCAATGAAGCATTCCTTGGGGCTTCCGGAATGTTTACTCTCTTTTGTTTTTCGTGTTGTTTTCTTCCAGCGTTTCACCACTTGACAGATTCAATTACGAGCTCTGGAGTCTGCGGCCTGGATTCCAGGAGGGCTTTGTCGGTTCTTTCTCACGGATTCTAACCCAAACACATTCCAGGGCAGGAGACGGGCAAAGACGGTCCTCACGGGCTCTTTTTGTAGCAGGAACTCCTTTGCATACTAGGCGACACCCCCATAATGTAGCCAATCCTCCAAGAGCTTACAGAGCTCTTCTTACAGGGGCTATTGTCAGCTCTTGGAGGATTGGCTACATTAGGGGGGGTGTCGCCTAGTATGCAAAGGAGTTCCTGCTACAAAAAGAGCCCGCGAGGACCTCAGATATGCAGACGATACCACTCTAATGGCAGAAAGTGAAGAGGACCTAAAGAGCCTCTTGCTCAGGGTAAAAGAGGAGAGCGCAAAAGTGGGCTTGAAGCTCAACATCAAAAAAACTAAGATCATGGCATCCGGCCCCATCACTCCTTGGCAAATAGAAGGGGACGTCGTGGAAGTAGTGACAGACTTCACGTTCCTGGGATCCCAGATCACCGCAGACTGTGACAGCAGCCATGAAATTAAAAGACGCCTGCTCCTTGGGAGGAAAGCGATGGCGAACCTAAACAGCATGATAAAAAGTAGAGACATCACCCTGCCAACAAAAGTCCGCATGGTCCAAGCAATGGTATTCCCAGTAGTCATGTATGGCTGCCAGAGTTGGACCATAAGGAAGGCCGAGCGCCGAAGAATAGATTCTTTTGAACTATGGTGCTGGAGAAGACTCTTGAGAGTCCCTTGGACTGCAAGGAGATCCAATCAGTCAATCCTAAAAGAAATCAACCCTGACTGTTCCCTGGAAGGCCAGATAATGAAACTGAAGCTCAAATACTTTGGCCACCCAATGAGAAGGGAGCCCTCACTGGAGAAGACCCCGATGCTGGGAAAGATTGAAGGTCAAAGAAGACGGGGACGGCAAAGGATGAGAGGGTTAGACAGTGTCATCGACGCAACGAACATGAAGTTGAGCCAACTTCAGAGGACGGCGGAAGACAGGAGGGCCTGGCGGGAGCTGGTCCATGGGGTCGCGAAGAGTCGGACTCGACTGTGCGACTGAACAACAACAAGCGCCTAATATGCAAAGGACTCCTACTCAAAAGCCTGGCGGAAGAGCTCCGTCTTGCAGGCCCTGCGGTTTCCAGCACTCTCCCCCAGCACCGGCCAGCAGGCCATCAGAGGAGGATTATCACCCTAAACACAATGAGCCTCTGTCACCCGGAAGTGATGTAGGCACGTCGGTGACATTGAGGGTGATGCACTGGTTTTTAGGCAAAACTCTATGGTAGAATTAGTTTCAAACCATAGAGTTTTGCCCAAAAACCACAGCATCACCTCCAATGTTACTGATGTGCCTATGTCACTTCCGGGTGATGGAGGCACATCACGCTTCTCCCCTCCCCTCTCCCGGAGCATCTTGGTAAGTGAGTCCCCCGCTGGGTTCTCATTCAGACTTGGCCACCCTAGACTTCCCACAATTTCAAGTTATGTCCTTCCTGTCTCCTGACTGGCTCTTTGGAGACTTCCTGCTCCAACTGAGCCCCTCCCCACTTCGCTCCTGTCTCTCACAGCAGTTAGTCAGTTAGTTAAGCCTCTCTCCCTCTCCTCTGTTCTATCAGAGTTTATTTCTTCTTTAATAAACCAAGTTTTTTTCCTTTAAACAGTCGGTGCTCCGTTCCTCTGCAGGTTTGAACTCTGCCAACTGATGCTCTGTCTCTCGAAAGCTCTAAGGTGCTGCTTAGACTGGAACCTGGTTGCTTCCTTGAAGCCCCCAGTCCCCCCATGCCCGCCTTCTTCTTCCCGCTATTGCTAAATTCCTGCTATTGTTCAAATCATTCCGCAGGGAGAGGAAGCCCCCCATGCTGCTGATCTGTGTCATTCCTGGGGCATCGGGGAAAAGGGAGTCATCCATCAGGAATTTCCCAGCCATGGTTCAAGACACACAGAGGCCTTGGGAGGTGATGCAAAAACAAACCAGACCTTGTGGAGGAAGCAGATATCTCTGCAGCCGTTGGGACCGGGGAGGGGGTGGGGGTGGAAAGAGGTCTCGGTTTTGTGTCAGTGAGGGTGGGGCGAGGTCTCCTGCTCCGGAATAACCAGGCCCTTTGCTGCTGGGAGATGATAGGGGAGGGGAGGGGAGGGGGGGTAGCGACCGGTGTGGTGTGGTGCTTAGAGACTCCAAATGCACTTAGTCCTCCTGAAGCTCTCTGGGTGGCCTCGGGCTAGTCATAAGAACATAAGAGACGCCAATGTTGGATCAGGCCAAAGACCCATCCAGTCCAACACTCTGTGTCACACAGTGGCCAAAGATACCAGTGCCATCAGGAGGTCCACCAGTGGGGCCAGGACATTAGAAGCCCTTCCACTGTTGACCCCCCCCCCCAAGCACCAAGAAGACAGAGCATCACTTGCCCCAGAGCCCCTATCTA